CTCGAGCGACGATCGGTTTGGCGCTAGAAGATGGTCAGCTGTGCCATGTTATGGGAGCTGCTAGTGCAAATGAGATGTGGGACAAGCTCAAAGGCTACCACGAGCGAGGGTCTCTGTCGAACAAGATCCATATACTGCGGAGATTGTGCTCGATGCGGCTGAAAGAAGATGGCAGTATGTCGGAGCATCTAGTCCAAGCGTCAGAGTTGGTTCACCGACTAGCCAGCATGGGAGAGCCGTTGAAGGAACATCTTGTTGTGGCGATTTTGTTGTCAAGTTTGCCGGAGACGTACAACCCGCTCGTTACTGCTCTTGAAGGCCGTCCAGAAGAAGACCTGAAGCTGGAGTACGTGAAAGGTAAGCTTCTAGATGAGTGGCGGAGAAGATGCGAGAACAAAGTGCATGAAAAGGCCAGTGAAATGGCGATGAAAACCACAATGCGATCGGAAGAACGGAGAAGTTTTGTACGGGTTTGTTACCATTGCAAGCAAGAAGGGCACTTGCGGCGAAATTGTCCTGTGTTGATGGCGGAGAGGCAGCAGAACCAAGCGAAGTCGATGGTGGTTAAGCAATCGGATGCCGGTAGCATTGGCAGTAGTCGAGGAGTGTGCTTCACGACGACGACTGCAAGTGATGTGTCGATTGACGGTCGTTGGATCATCGACACTGGCTGTACGAAGCACATGGCTGGTTCGACGGCGAGCTTCGACAGCATGACGCGAAGAGAAGGTGTCGTTGGCGGACGGGAGAAATGTAACTTCCAGAGGAACCGGACATGGAAGGATCGTTGGAGTCGGCTTGGAAGGCGAGTCCGTTGACATGCAACTGAAGGGATTGCTGTATGTGCCTGGATTGTCCGGAAGTGTGCTGTCAGTGAGCCAAATCACAAGCAATGGCTATGATGTGCTGTTTGGTGTGAAGGATTGCAGAATCCAGAAAGGCAAAAAGGTTGTTGCTATAGGTGACCGGATCGGAGGGCTGTACTACCTAAGGCAGCCGGTAGTGACGTAAAGCAGGAGGAGTGCTACGGAACAGGAGGAGTGTTGTAAGTAGATGCAGTAGTGGGCTTCACTAAGGAGGAGTGTTGGAAGTAAGTAGTGAAAGCCCCTGGATACGCGCATCTATCATGTGAGTCTCTATAGTGGCTCCCAAGATCGAGAATGACAGCTGCCGTATGAGTGTGTATGAGTGCGTGAGAGTGAGAGACTGACGAAGCATAAATTGCTGATGTGTGTACAATTTATGTTTGTTGACTAGTCCATTGCAACTTGTAAATAAAGACGCACGTAGAACGTAGTCCGCGGTTATTTTTCTTTGGTATCACGCGACTCCCGAGACGGGTGTTTATTGTCCGGTAGTTCGGTTTGGATAAACCTGTGTACATCTGCTTGCGCTGGGATTCCCACACCATTCACTCCTGAAACGGATGCGTGAAACTCCCTCTCCCAGAGGCGATGATCTTAAAACTTTGATCAAGTTCGGTATGGGAGTGGAGAACTTAGTTGAACACATGATTCTGGCGGACCAACAGCAACATGTTAGTAACCCTATGCTACTACAAGAGTTGGTAGATAGGCTTCCACCGAATCTGAAGCTGCAATGGGCTTCCTACAAACGAAACTACTATACTGTCAACTTGGCAACATTGAACGATTTCATGAAGGACCTCGTAACGATGGCAAGTGACGTAACTTTACACGTAGATCCGGTAATGCAGAGTTCGGGAAAGTTTGATAAAAATAAGCGGGAAAAACCTGTGAAGGAGAAGCTGTTCGTCCATCAACAAGCGTCCGCAGCACCGGGAGTGGCAGAAAGCAGCATGGGTCAAACTAGGGGTCAAAAGGATGTCATCAATCCAGTTAGCAAGCCCTGTTTACACTGCGGAAAATCGGATCATCGCATAGCTGAGTGTACAGAGTTCAAGAAGCTGAATATGGATGAACGGTGGAAGGTAATGCGGCAGAAGGGATTGTGTCGGCTATGCTTAGTCCCTCATCGAACATGGCCATGTCGCTCGAAGCAAGACTGTGGGGTCGGAGACTGTCACATGCGTCACCATCCTCTGCTGCACTCGAATAAACCAGAGTCAACTACACCGTCACCATCAACATCTACCAACAGAAGCGTCGCGCACCAGCATCATCATTCCCTAACTTCATCTGCGTTGCTGCGCTATCTTCCCGTCACACTGTACGGAAATGGGAAGAGCGTAGATGTATACGCGTTCCTCGACGACGGATCCTCGTCAACCATGTTGGAAGCGGAAGTGGCGAACCTGCTAGGAGTAAAAGGGCCCTGTGAACCGTTGTGTTTAAGCTGGACGGGTGATGTGAAAAGAATGGAGAGTTTCAATGTTGTAAACAGATGTGGCAAAAAGTAGTGGTGTATGTGAGAATTGATTGTATGTTTGATCTTTCAAGGCGCAATTTGGATTTTCCCGCATCTTTTCAGAACAATTCCAAATTTCCATTATTTTCCAATTTTATGGATAGAGGCCCAGGCATTCTGTTGACTGCTGCTCTAAAACCGAGTCTAAGGCCGTTCGCAATGCTAAGTTTCAAAATTGTTTCAAACTACTCGTCAATTCTATAATTTGAAACTGTCAAAAATAAAACTGCAACACGATCAGCGCAACGCACAGTTCTAAAACATGTTTGTAATCATCAACTTCCATAAACTTTACTGTTCTCTATGAAGTTCTCCGTTTTTTTTTGTGGAGCTCTTCGAAACATCTTCAACACATCCAAAGAAATTTGAAACAGAGTTCCATTCGTGTTTCAAACTCGCTCAGAAATAAAACAGAATAGTCGAGCAGTTGCAAATCTGGTGCAAAATAGTGCTCGAATAATGAAACTGCAACTCAGCATTGCGAGAGGTGCGTTTCTGTTCTAGTTTCAAATTGAAACAGTCCTTATAAAATACAACAGCATTGCGAACGGCCTAAAGCGCTGGCCAGACTGGATAGTTATTACATGTTATAACGGTTGTCAAATAATTGCAACACATAAACCATCATCAAGATAGCGCTATAACACGTTATAACTCTGTAGTCTGAAACGCTGTCCAGACTGGAGAGTTATAACATGTTATTACGGTTGTCAAATAATTGCAACACAGAAACCACCATCAAGATAGCGCTATAACATGTTATAACACTGTAGTCTGAACGTACTATGAACGTACTATACACAGAAAAAAAAAGTTGTTGAATATTACATCCAAACAACTGCACAGAGGTCATTCCGCCGGTTGTGTAATATTACGTTGTACGATGTAAATCGATTTTGCGAACAAAATTACATCTATTGATGTAATATTGTATCTGATTTTTGCTATTACATCATTATTTCATACATCAGCTTGAATTACGTTGATCGATATTAATTTTTTTTTTGCTGTGTAAAACAATGATTTTATCACAGACAAACAGACATAACACATTGGATATTTTTCAATGTAAAACATCGTCGCTAAAACATTACCGCCATCTGTTGAGTACACTGTGGTAGGTAGTACGCTGAACAGATGGCGGTAGTGTGTAAACGTCAAACGCAAGGAAATTGACTATGCGCGCCACAGGTGGCGGTGCTACCAACTACGATACTTTTAAATTTACCGTTAAATGCTTGTTCGAAGAACAACTTGCGAGTGTTATGTCTGTTTGTCTGTGATTTTATTGTTGCTCAAATCGAAGACATCGTATCAAGAAGACTGGCAACATTGCCAGAATCCAAGCGACAGATACAGTTGCGCTGCGCTTGAGTGAAGGTGGAAGCAACGCATAGAAATAATGAGCAAATACACAAACCTGTCTTCTGAGGATGTAATCTTTGCTATCAAATCCTGAGATTTGGGCGTAATTGATTTTTTAAACAAACACGTCAATCGCCGATTTCTCGCGAATTAAAGGTCAATCTCGAAAATTAACAACATAAACAGGTAGACGAATGATTCTTCTGCCATTTTGTATAGGTTGTTTGCGAGATTGAGCGTTTATTCGAGAGAAATCGGCGATTGACTTGTTTGTTCTCAAATCTCAAAGTTCCCTGGAAATTCGTTCGAAGCATTTACCTTTGAGCAGCAGATGACGCGATTGTATCTGTCTCAAGGGTCACCCACATTAGATCCGTTTGCGTTGCGTTGACGTAAATTTGACAGTTAGACAATAGATTTAGCTGTCACTTTGCCGCAACGCGTCCGATCCGGATCTAATGTGCGTGGGCCTTCATAGCGTTCGTATGAGAAAATGGAAGAGTTGCCAGTCTTCTTGATTTGTTGTCTTCGCTAAAATGCAATACACGGTAACCGCAAAATACCCAATAATGACTACAAAGTAAGCATTTTCGAGGGAGACTGGGACTACCCATTAAATGAGTGAAAATATTACCCATTTATGAGTTTATTTATATTTGTTACTCAAAAATTAATACTTACTACTTGTTTTTGTAGTTGTAATTACTCATAAATGGGTAATATTTTACTCATTTAATGGGTAGTTCCAGTTTCCCTAGAAAATGCTTACTTTGTAGTCATTATTGGGTATTTTGCGGTTACCGTGTATTTGGTAAAACTGGCAACACAGACAAACAGACATAACACATTGAATATCTTTCAACTGTGATGGGTAGTACGCTGAACAGATGGCGGAAGTGTGTAAACCTCAAACGCAAGGATTATTGATTATACGCGCCACAGGTGGCGGTACTGCTAACTAAAAATATTTTAATTTACTGTTAAACGCGTGTTCAATGAAAAAATTGCCAGTGTTATGCCTGTTTGTGTTGCCAATAAAATGTAACACTGTTACAAACAAAACTGAATCAGATAAGATAGCGTAACCAAATATCTTCTTAAACTTGAATGCATAAACTGGTACATAAACTTATGCAATGGGTCTTCTTATGATTTCGGATGAATCATAACAGTTGATATCAATATACATTTAAAGATAATATTTATTTTCTTAATAGACTGTCTTCAACAGGTTTAAACTACTATTTGCTGTACCTACACACTAATCCAGTCAGTAAGTTAGGGTTTTTGAATTGCAGAACTGTTCGGTAAAAGTTTAAAAATCTGTGTAAAATTCAATAATGAGACAATTTATTCCGAACTTGTACATACTTATGTCGTTTTCATTTTTACTACACTACACCGGTGTAGTGTAAGCAGCAATAAGTGCGAGTCATTGACAGTTCATCATCATTTGTTTGTAAACAAAGGTGCAACCGATAGCTACACCCTAATTTTTTTCGGTGTTCGGCAGTGTAGCACCGGTGTAGCTACACCGCAAAAACGAAAACGACATTAGTTCCGTTAACACCAGTTAATGATAGAAAATAAAGTTTGTCGATTTCATTGATTCCTTACGGATAACGGTCATTTGAACTTTTACCGACTTTTTCAGCAATTTAAATACCAAGTTAAAATATTCTGACTCCTGCAAAATAATCTTAGTGCGTATAATGGTAGATAGGTATTTTTGAGAGGAAAATTTTGCTGTTTTCTTTTAGATTGAAGATGTAAATGCAACCTAGAGCAATAACTTTATCAAGAGACAAACACATTAAACAGAAAAAATTGTCGTCCATCAAATGCTTACCCCTAAATGACTATATACAAGTTTTTAATACGTTATAAATATTGATTTGAATCATGTTTTATCTTCTTTATTTGCGCTCAACAACCAGAACCTCTAGTTTTCAAAGAGCTATACTACCGCTATTAGCATAACAGTCCCATGGAGTTCCTCTTCCCTTGGGATTGCTATGCCAATAGCGACAGTATACAATGGAATACACACACTCTCTCTAGTTTAGTTACTTAACCTAAATGAAAATAAAAAAAAAACTACAACTTGGAGAACCTGCTTCATCCAAACATCAGCTTTCCTACGCGGTAAAAAATCACTGCCCGTGATCTAGATCGTCGCTCTCAGTAGTGGAAGTTGTGCAACGATTTCTGAAGAATTAAAAAACAAATCCATTTACGAATTGTCATAGGTGAAGGAGAAAAGTTTGTCAAAGGGCTTACCTCTAATCGTCGGGGCTATCCTCGTACGACGGACTGGTCGGCGAGTAGGTTGGACTGGCTGGACTCGAGGGGCTGTATCCCTGTGCTGTCGGGGAATATGCAGGACTCGAGGGTGAATAATGCGGCGAGGTCGGTGTGTACACCGGGCTTGTGGGAGAGTACTTCTGGCTTCCAGGGGAGTAGGATGACATGTTGGGCGAGTAGATCGCCGAGGGCGAATATGTTGGTGAGCTGCCCATGAAATTGTTGCTGCCACCCGGCGAGTGCTGTGGCGAACTTGGCGAGTAGCTCGGGGATGTAGGCGAGTATTTCGGGCTGGTTGGGGAGTATTGTGGGCTGGCCGGAGTGTACTGGGGACTGCCACCGTAGGATGGGGAAGTTGGAGAGTAGCTGGGAGAGGTTGGTGAATATTTCGGGGACGATGGAGAGTAGGACGGTGAAGTTGGGGAGTAGTGAGGCGAGCTGGGTGAATAGTTGGGACTGGTTGGGGAGTAGGATGGTGTGGCGGGGGTATAGTTGGGGGATGTTGGTGAATAACTGGGAGAGGTTGGCGAGTAGGATGGAGAAGTTGGAGAATAGGATGGGCTGGATGGGGAGTAGGATGGACTGGTTGGGGAATATGCAGGGGAAGTGGGTGAATAGCTGGGAGATGTTGGAGAGTACGGGCTTGTGGGAGAATATGAAGGAGAAGTCGGGGAATACGCTGGGCTCGATGCTCCGTAGGTTTGCGACGGAGAATAGTGTGGCGAAGTTGGTGAGTAGCTTGGAGAGGTTGGCGAGTAGTTCGGTGACGACGGGCTGTAGTTCGGGCTTGTTGGTGAATACCGTGGACTTGTGGGTGAGTAATTTGGACTGGTCGGCGAATAGCTGGGGCTCGTTGGAGAGTACGCAGGAGAGGCGCCACCTGGCGATGCAGCAGCATAGTTTGGACTGCTTGGTGAGTAAGACGGAGATGCACTTGGAGATGACGGGAAGTATGGAGACATAGATGGGCCAGGAGAGCTTGGAGATCCTGGCATGGGCGACCAGGATGGTGACAAACCTGATACGTCAGATTGTGCTGACGGTGAGAAGCTTGGTCCACCGGGAGTCATGCCACTGGGTGGCCCAGAAGGAGACCAATCGCAATAACCAGGAGTTTGAGATTGTTGCCAGGGAGTCATAGCTGGACTCATGCTTGGGGTTGCTCCAGGACCGAAGAACATTCCCGAACCACCCATGATGGATGTGTGTGGAATTTCCATACCCAGCTTACACTTCTCCGCGTCCAGAAGCAGATCGAAACAACCGGTTCCCATTCTCGGAAGCTGTCCCATAATGATATTCTCTGATACGCCTCTCATAGGATCGACTTCAGCGTGAGCAGCGGCGTCGTTCAACACGTCCACCGTTTCTTCGAAGGAACATCTCATCAGAGCGCCCGTGTCCTGTCTGTTGATACCGTGACGTGTGATGGCCATCAAGTGACCTTTCGCAGTCATAACGTCGCAAAGTAACGCAAGATGACGATAGTTTACGTAAAGACCGTAGAACTGCAGGACGTTGTTCATTTCCTTCTCGACGGATTTTCGCACAGCCTCGATTCCCAACACTTGGAAGATCTCGCAAATATCGTTACTAGCCGTACGGACGGGATCCACGTCTCTCTCGCTCAGTACCTTCATCATAGAAGTTCCGTCAGTTTCCAGCAACCACTCTCCGATGGCCTTGAACTCTCCTTCTGGTGTGATGACAATCCTTCTCTTGGCATCCGTCTGCGGCAAATGCATGTACACTTTTCCGATGGCTTCAATACCCTGCAGCGTCATGTCCGACAACATGTTCGCTTCGATGCACCTCAAGAACATATCGTCCTCCATTTTGTCCATGTTCTCCTCCTCGTTTTCCTGGAATTTGCTGTCGTCTCCATTCATGATACGGATTCGCAACACCAGTTTGTCGGCGTTGTCGTCGTTAAAGATACAGTTCAGATCGTCACCGAATCCAGCGTTGATCTTCTCAGCGATCTGCTCCATGGTCAACTTCTTATCGGTCATACGCTTGCGATCTAGTTCGATACGCAGCAGCCAGGGTGAAATGCGGGTCGGATCGAAGTCGGGCATTTCGTAGTAAACGTTCACGAACTCCTGATCCTCGGCAATGACGGTTCTCTGAGGATCTGGATCGTAGTATATGGCCGTATTGGCTGTGACCTTCCTCAAGGTGGTATGTTCCAGACGGCAGAGTACGTTCTTTGCCTTTTCGGCATCACGAGCAGCACCACCGGTAAGGAAGACCGTTAGGGAGGGAGCCTTTGGTCGTTTGGAGATATTGATAATTTCCTTCAATCTGGGTACACCCAGTGTTACGTTCTTCGAGGACACACCAGCAAAATGGAAAGTGTTCAGTGTCATCTGAGTAGCGGGTTCTCCGAGTGATTGGGCAGCCAAGGCACCCACCATCTCACCTGGATTACACTGGGCCTGCTGGAAACGGGTTTCGATTTCTCCTATCAACCACTCGAACGCTTCGTTGTTCAGGCGGAACTCTTCGGCTACGTATTTGGTGCAGAGAGTTGATCGAACTAAACACTGGAACAGCAGTGTGGCGTTCTCGTTGGCTTGCTTCGACAGACGATCCGTGCCGGCTACGATGACGCACTTGGTCAATAATTCTCGGACACCTTGGATAACCTTCAACGGAGACAGATCGGTACTGCCTCGTTTGTTGATATGGAAAATCTTCTGCACGTTCCAAATCATCCGCTGCAGATTGCAAGGCAATACAACTTTCGATTCACCGTTCGGGAAAATCTGCCGCAGCGCTTCACGATCCCTCAACAACTGCTCGTACTCGGCTTCGATCTCTTGGATAACATCCGGAGACTCCGTCAGCTCTTTGATAACTTCCTCGTTAAAGACCCGTCTTAGGTTCCGTTCGTTGGTCGGATCGAAACGGTACCGCTTCTCGAACACCTTGTTCGACAGCTTGATGGTCGGTAGATTCTGGAACTCTACCGTCTCTCCGCACAACCCGTCCTCACCATAACGCAGCTGAATCAGCTGTCCGACTGAGTTACGTACTGTTCCGTCATAGTTTACCATTACCGACTCCATAGCCTTGATCAGACGACGCTGGATGTAACCGGTTTCGGCTGTCTTTACAGCAGTATCAATCAAACCTTCACGACCTCCCATGGCGTGGAAGTAGAACTCGGTCGGTGTAAGCCCGGCAAGGTAGGAATTTTCCACGAAACCTCTCGATTCGGGACCGTAATCGTCCTTGATGAAGTGCGGTAGGGTGCGCTTACGGAAACCGAAAGGAATACGCTTACCTTCAACGTTTTGTTGACCCACGCAAGCAATAACCTAGGGTGGAAAGAGCAACAGGTTAGTTGAGCGAAACGTACATATGAGCGTTATTGTTACCTGAGAGATGTTAATGTTGGACCCCTTGGCACCGGAAACGACCATAGCCTTTAGATTGTTGTATTCAGTCAGCGACTTCTTGGCGGAACCACCAGTCTTGTCACGAGCGTCGTTCAGGATACGATTTACCTGATTTTCGAAAGTCTGTCGAAGCGTGTTACCCGGAGTCGGTTCCAGTTCCATGTTGTGAGCCTTCTGGATAACACCAATGACATCCTCTTTGGCCTTACGGATAGCCCTCTGAATTTCGGAGTACGTCTGAGGATCGGCAATGGTGTCACCGATACCGATGCTATGACCTTCCAGCAGCAACCAGTTGTTGATCACAGTCTGAATGTTACCGTAGAATCGACCGGCAATTTCGTGTCCCAGTTCCAGGAATACGATATGGAGCAGCGAACCAGCCGATGTACCCAGTGTCTTTTTGCAGAGAATGCCCATGATCAGTTCGCCGTGTTCTACCATGACCTTGGTATCTCCCGGCGAGATCCACTTGTACGGGCCATCGTCTTCCTCGTCCGGATGTGTCGAATGGGTACGAATCATGTTGACGTTTCCGGGAATGATCAGGGTGAAAATTTGCTTTCCAGTCCAGAGGGGTTTCGGCTTCAGAATGCAAGGCTGTGGCATTTTGCCATCCCAAGTCGGCAAGAACATGAGTAGATTCATCATCTGTTCCTTCTCCAAGAAGACGTCACGTTTGGTCATTTTTCGAACGGCCGTTAGTGTATCCTGCACAATACCCATGACGGGTTTGTTTGCCTGCGGAGTGATAATCTGTCGGGGCGTAATGTGGATGTTCTCGATTTCAGCACGCGTTTCCATCGACTGCGGAACGTGAAGGTTCATTTCGTCTCCGTCAAAATCGGCATTGTACGGTGAGGTACAACTAAGGTTCATTCGGAATGTCGACCACGGGAGCACTTTGACACGATGACCCATCATACTCATCTTGTGGAGCGTGGGCTGACGGTTGAAAATGACCAGATCGTCGTCGCGAAGATGCCGTTCCACTTTGTAACCACACTGCAGATGTAAGTCACTGGATTTGGGATGGAAACGAAGATCGATTCGTTCACCGTTGTCACGGACGATGTACTTTGCGCCTGGATACTGGGAATTTCCTCTGCGTACCAATTCCTGCATTCTATCAATGTTGAATGGAGTGACCAACTCCGGGAAAGTCATGTTCTGTGCAATCGAGCGGGGAACACCTACCTGATCGATACGTAGATTAGGATCAGGAGTAATTACAGTACGAGCCGAAAAGTCCACACGTTTTCCCATCAAATTACCACGGATACGACCTTCCTTACCCTTCAAACGGGACTTGACACTCTTCAGTGGCTTTCCGCTCTTTTGCATAGCTTTCGGCATACCGGGCATATCGTTGTCGACCAGCGTGGCCACGTGGAATTGCAACATTTTGATGTTCTCCGCAATTACGTGAGCCGCTGCACCGGTAGCTTCGTTCTTCTTCAGCTCGTTGTTGGCTTTGATGATATCCGATAGCTTGTGCGTCAAATCGTCCTGATTCTTGGTAGCTCCAAACATAACGACAGCCGGTCTTACAGCTAGCGGTGGAACCGGCAGAACCGTAATAATCATCCAATCGGGACGCGCAAACTTTGGATCCATACCCAGCACGTAGCATTCTTCATCCGTAATGTGCTTCAAAATTTCCCAGACTCGTTCTGCGGTTACGTTGATCTTCTTTTCCTGCGAATCTTCGTTAACGTGCTTCCACTCGGCAATCACATCCAATCCGGTTCTCCTCAGCGACGGTTGATAGTGACCGCAACCACCGTGCCCTTGCTTCTTGCTCGGATCTGCTTGTGCCCCATCCTTCGTGATGTCCATGTCTTCACCACCCTCGCAAATCTTCTTTCCTTTGCACAAATCGTAAACATACGCCAAACGCTTTCTCGGTTGCCCCTTGGACTTTATGACGATTTCCTTGATCTTCGGATTACTCGGAGAGACCAGCATCTTCGAACAGTAGAAACAAACGCAGCGTAAGATCTTGATTGTTTTCGTCACGAAACCGATGTGGAACACCGGCTTCGCCAGATCGATATGACCGAAGTGACCCGGACATTCGGTCATATTTCCGGCACAGGTCTGACACCGAGAGGTTCGATCGATGACACCTGGAAAAATAAAAAAAAAAATCCAAATCAAATTCCCAACCTATTATGGGCCTGTTCATAAACTACGTAGACAGTTTTTTTGGGATTCTTGACCCCCCCCTCCCCCTGCGTAGACAATTGTCCATACAAAATTTTGAAAATTTGTATGGGCCGTGGATAATTGTCAACCCCCCCCCCCCCCCTAAACTGTCTACGTAGTTTATGGACAGCCCCTATCGCACATTTCCCGTTACTACGCATTAGGTCTAACAAAAAACAACCCAACTCTCCAACCCCCGAAAATAAAAAAACAACTCACCCTGTCGGGGATCCATCAGACCGCAAAGCTTCGGCCGACCGCCTTCCATGGTTTCGGCATATTGAATGCCACCCTCCGTCACCGACATCCGACGGATTTCGTCCGGTGAAAGGATTCCGAACTGGACCTTTTTCACCGTCCGAAGCGGCGCCTTCGAATCGCCATTCATTTTGGCAGCCGCTTCTTTTTCCTCTTTTCGCTACGCTTATTCAGCCCCTGCTCACTTGCTTCCGTTCAGACGAACTTTTTTTTTTTGCCTTCCTCTGTCTGGCGCACAGGGAAATTACTGGTGTTAGTCAGCTGCGGAGAAAAGAAAAATTCCAAACTTTCAATTCCACTTTTTCGCTCCTAAACTGGACCATAACTGGTCGAAAACACTCACAATCGGTTCCCCGGACTTAGGGGAACAAATTTTCAATATTTTTTCCCAGAATCACACGCACTAGAATCACTTTAGAGTCGAAAAAAATCAGCCACAAATTTTCCGTGACAATGCACACGCGTCCATTTGCTGAAGTGACTGCCTGAGCGCTTATGGCCGCCAATGAATTGGTGAAATCTAGAGCCATGAGCAAACTGTTGGTTTTTGGTTGAGAAGAAGAGGAAAGCCGAAGCAACGAGATAATCGACACGAAGCCGACCGTCGAAGACGACGCGCGCCGAAGTTTGACATCCTAAACTGAGCAACTCATTGACGTTTACTTGTTTACCTGTTTGTTTCAATTGCGGAGCTCATTTTGCTAAAGCCCTATACACGGTGTTTCGCGAAAACCCATTAATGGGTATAAAAATACCCATTTCCGCTAAAAGTGCCCCTCCCAGGGGGAACGACACTTCAGGATTATCCCATTTTTACCCAAACCTCTCATATAATTTTCAACGTTCACAAAAATTTCAATCCATCCTATCTATTCTTTCTATTCCCAATTTATCCCTTCTGCATGCACACAAATTGTCAAGCAAGCCGTGCAGTTTTTCGAAGTTTTCAGGTCGACCGCGAAGCACTCTGCCAGACTCACTGTCAGTTTACAACACTCTCCACAACAAAAAAAAAGAAAACTAAAAAAAGATGACGGACCACTCGTCTATAATCGGTCTCGGGGGCAAAAAACATCAAGTGCATCACGGAAGAGACGGCAACGCACATCCCGGACTCAAACCGATCGAATTCGACGGATAAGAGCCCGGGTCTCTGTGTGTTGTAGCATGGAAGTTGCCGAACAGGCGCGAAGCAACTGTTGATTTCGTTCAGCTGATTCTAGCCCCCGGAAAAGCCTTACCAATGAAACCCCCTACGACAAGCAGGTGGAAAAGGAATTCAGGTCATTTTTTCCACTCGGCCCAAGTTTTACTCGTCTCTGATGCTGGTCAAGGGTTAATGGTGAAGTAAGACACCCACCGGCTGATGTATTTCTGTGCGAGAATATTGCGAATCAAATTCCCGTCCAAATGCAGCTGGGAATATTAACCGGAACCTTGTAATCCATCGCCATCACCCGTTCCTCCTAGTTTGCAGTTTCGACCTATTCGGTGCGGAACCATTTTCTGCACTTGAGCTGTGAGCTTTGGTTATTATAGTTGGGCGGTGTCCATTAATTCCGTTTAGCTAAAAATGAATATTTCCCCCCCCCCCCGTTTGGAACAAAACTTTACACTGAAAATGACCCCTCTCTATTTATTACGTAACGCTCTATAAACCCCCCCCCGCCTTTTCATTTAATTAATTTTTGATTTTGTTTTGTAGCAAAAATCACAATTTATAAAATTAAAACAGATCCATTTTGCAAAGCAAGATTTAGTGATGACAGCTTTCGTTGTTGTACCAAAAACGTCAAAAAGACCTGTATTTTCAAACTGTACATCAAGAAACGAAAAAAAAACAAAATGTTCTTTTTGTTACGTAACGCAAAGCTTTACTACTCCTCCCCTATGCATAATTCGTAACGATATAGGTGACACCCTCTCCCCCTATAAGCGTTACGTAATTCATGGACGCTTCATTGCAGCAAATTTTTCTTCTTTTTACACCTATCCTCTTCGCGTTCAGACTCGCATCCCTCTGAAATTTTTTAACACCCCTCACATCACATCAATTGCTTGATCTATTCCCATCTATTTTTTCTATCCCTGCTCTATTTTCGTCATCACGACACACTAAAAAAATCCCATCAATTATGTTTTTCCCCGAAAATCCCAAGTAATTACTAGACTGAAAATATACATCCAAATGAGTGTCGTTCCCCCTGGCCCCTCCTCATTTAATGGGTAAACTATGGTTTACTCATAAATGGGTAAATGGGTGGTCTGTCAATAAATGGGTGTTTTTTCACCCATTTTCTTATATTGTGTTTACCGTAAAATGGGTGAAAAAATACCCATTTTTACAAATGGAGGATGCAAGCGCTCGTTGATGTAAAAATGTTTCTAAAACATTGAAAACAAATGCAGGTGTTCCGCTCAAATTTTTCACGAAACATTATAATACAAATTATCCATTGTATTGACTTATCCGTAAGCCTCTCCAACGTTTTGGATTCTAACATTTTCCGGAGATCGTCTATTTTCGCCAAATATGCTGCAGACAGTAACTGTTTGCATCGAGGTTTGCATTCCCAATGAGCCGGTGATGGAAATGAGACGATAAAATTTCGAAGTGTTTTTTCACTCATTAATGGGTAAAAAATATACCCATTATTCAACCGTGAACTGATTCTTTAAATGGGTATTTTTTCACCCATTTTATGATTTCAAAATTCCCCCATTTTTTGACAGCTGCATAAATGGTTTGAAAATGGGTATTTTTTTACCCATTAATGGGTTTTCACGAAACACAGTGTACAGTAAAAGTATGGACGTCTGTCAAAAGTTGTTCCAATCGAACCGTCAAAATGCACCGCTTTGCTCGATTGGAACCAATGAGCTGGATTACCGAGGTGAAGCAATCGGTTAAGTTGTGTGAGTAAAACCCCTGTACGATACAAGCAAGTAGTGACGTCACTACTTGCGTTTAGGTTGATTTTTTGGTTTACTAATCAACCATATTTCACGATCTGCTTCACCTCTCTCTGTACCTCATTGGATTGGAACAGCTTTTTTCAGTTTTGTGGTGACAGTCGTCCATACTTTTACTGTAGGGCTTTACATTTTGCAGGGTTGGGTTTCGACTAAAAACACTTTATACAAAGACTTGCGGATGTAAAAACAGTAGAACCATAGAGGTAACTCTAAGACCACTGGGTCCCGAAGAAAATCATTATTATTTTTGGCTCACTCAGTACCAGAACAACGGTCCCAAGCAGTCCCAAGCTATTTCACTCACCCCTGCATGTTCTGCATGAATCCACACACCCCTGATGTTATCTGTCAAACTTTCATAGCGAATCAAAACAAACATAGTGTAGTAATAGAATTTCAACTAGAATAGGGTACGTTAATAGTTTGCTTGGGACCAATAGGCTACTAAAGTGGTGAGCCAATTTAAAATCGTTAGTTTCGTATTGATTGTTGGTTATATTACACAGCCGATGGATTGACCTGGTTGCATCAGTTTGGATGTAATATTCAACAACTTTTTTTTCTGTGTATGCCACTGGTCCTCATACCGGTTTCTTCCTACGTTCGGTGTCGGAAGAGGATCCAGAATCAATTTCTTATTTTCGTTGTTCTTTCGAAGTTACGTGTGGAACAGGATGATATAGGGATCGGTATCAGAAAAGACGGAATGAAGTTGGGGTTTCGTGTGGGGTTTCTCCGGGCTTGTAGAGCTGGTTTCCGGATCCATCTTCGGTTTTGCCTCTCTCGGGCAAAATCGAAGATGGATCCGGAAACCAGCTAGACAAAACCGGCGGAGCCCCACAGTATCAACAAACTGAGTTTACGTTCGAATTTACCTCAAATATTTTTGTTTCGACGATAGTTTTTTCTGCGTGTACATCAATGGATGTAATTTTTGTTCTCGACATCGATTTAAATCGTACAACCAACAATCAATACGAAACTAACGATTTTAAATTGGTTCCCCTTATAAAAATAACCATAAAAGAGAGCTTAACCATAGAGGTAACTCTAAGACAAGAAGGTCCCGAAATAACGTGCTCAACTTTTTGGCTCAGCTCTGGTACTCTCTTCGGTCCCAAGCTAATCGATTCACCCCTCGAAACATAGAAAAAACCAATAACCCCTCATTTTATCTGTCAAACTTTCATAGCGAATCAAAACAAACATTGCGTAGTACTAGAATTTCGACTAGAATGGGATACGTTAATCGTTTGCTTGGGACCAATAGGCTAGTCAAGTAGTGAGTCAATTTAAAATCGTTAGTTTCGTATTGATTGTTGGCTTAACGACGTGTTCGTACGATGTTCCAAACCATTTGTGGAAAAGTTTACCCATCCGGGATACAGTTCATTTATGGTATTTATTTGCTACTTGACTAGCCTATTGGTCCCAATCCAACGAATAACGAACCCCATTCTAGTCGAAATTCTAGTACTACACAATGTTTGTTTTGATTCGCTATGAAAGTTGGGCTAGTGGATTTTCCTATGTTTCGAGGGGTGAACAAATTAGCTTGGGATCGAAAAGAGTACCAGAGCTGAGCCAAAAAGTTGAGCACGTTTCTTCGGGACCTACTAGCATAGAGGTAACTCTAAGACTAGTAGGTCCCAAAGAAACGTGCTCAACTTTTTGGCTCAGCTCTAGTACTATCTTCGGTCCCAAGCTAATCGATTCACCCCTCGAGACATAGGAATATCCACTAACCCCTCATTTTTTCTGTCAAACTTTCATAGCAAATCAAAACAAACATTGTGTAGTTCTAGAATTTCGACTAGAATGGGATACGTTAATCAATTTGCTTGGGACCAATAGGCTAGTCAAGTAGTGAGCCAATTTAAAATCGATAGTTTCTTATTGATTGTTGCTACTAGTCTTAGTAACTCTATGGTACAACGTAACATCAACCGGTGGCAAATAACGATTTTAAATTGGCTCACTGCTTGACTAGCCTATTGGCATAGAGGTAACTCTAAGACCACTGGGTCCCGAACAAAATCATTATTATTTTTGGCTCACTCAGTACCAGAACAACGGTCCCAAGCAGTCCCAAGCTATTTCACTCACCCCTGCATGTTCTGCATGAATCCACACACCCCTGATGTTATCTGTCAAACTTTCATAGCGAATCAAAACAAACATAGTGTAGTAATAGAATTTCAACTAGAATAGGGTACGTTAATCGTTTGCTTGGGACCAATAGGCTACTAAAGTGGTGAGCCAATTTAAAATCGTTAGTTTCGTATTGATTGTTGCTATTGGTCCCAAGCAAATCGATTAACGTACCCCATTCTAGTCGAAATTCTAGTACTACACAATGTTTGTTTTGATTCGCTATGAAAGTTTGAAAGATAAAATGAGGGGTTCGTGGATTTTTCTATGTTTCGAGGGGTGCATCGATTAGCTTGGGACCGAAGAGAGTACCAGCAACAATCAATACGAAACTAACGATTTTAAATTGGCTCACCACTTTAGTAGCCTATTGGTCCCAAGCAAACGATTAACGTACCCTATTCTAGTCGAAATTCTATTACTACACTATGTTTGTTTTGTCGCTATGAAAGTTTGACAGATAACATCAGGGGTGTGTGGACTCATGCAGAACATGCAGGGGTGAGTGAAATAGCTTGGGACTGCTTGGGACCTTTGTTCTGGTACTGAGTGAGCCAAAAATAATAATGATTTTCTTCGGGACCCAGTGGTCTTAGAGTTACCTCTATGGTACCAGAGCTGAATCAAAAAGTTGAGCACGTTTCTTCGGGACCTTCTGGTCTTAGAGTTACCTCTATGGTAATATTGCACAACCAGTGGAATAACCTCTGTGCAGCAGTTTGGATGTAATATTAAAAAAAAATCTGTGTAGCTTTTAATACGACAAACATGGCAATAAACAATTCTGTATCCAAGTTATTAACGAATGAGAAAGTCGATGAAGAGAATCGATCGATGTTACTTAGGACCTAATGCATTGTTCACCTTGAAATGTTGGCACCGAATTAGTTTTCGTTGCGTATACAGAGACACCCTGTTCCCCTAACTCAAACTAGAGAGCAACCCTGCGCTCATGTGTGTGCGTAACGACCAGCGCTGCCATTTATACAGATTTATCTGTAATATACAGATTTTTTAATCTTAATACAGACCCGATACAGAATACAGATTTATCACAGATTTTTAAATTACAATACAGATTTATACAGATTTTTTATAAAATGAATGTTATGGTGTTTTTGACAGCATTCACAACCAGAGGACCAACCGCTTTCGGATGCGAGCTGGTAGTATACGATTTGAGATTGTATGGGGATTTACACTATTAATTGAATATTTCCAATATAACCATGTATGTTAAATACAAGAAAAGTGCCCGAGCACATTAAAATGGTACAAATACAAGTACTCGTAAACATTTTATTTGCATTGAAAATGTATTTCGTAAGAAATTGCGGATTTTCTGATATTCTCCATACTGCAAAAATGATTTTACCAGCACTGGCGGGGCGACATCTCTCGACTTTTCGGTGTAACTACCACACAAATGATGTAATTAATTGGCAAATCAAAGTTGGCACTCGTGGAGAATAGAAGAACTATGAGAGTGATGATGGTTTCAAAATTTTACACGGTGAGGTATACGAATGCAATCTTAAAATGCTTTTATTTTGCAAATGGAGCATTTTATTTAAATCTGGTTAATGCTACGCTAGTAGAAAACTTAAGGACTACTTAATAGACATATAATATAGAAAAAATAATTTCTTTTCAGATTTTTATGTGTAGACATAGATTTCAGCTTTTCTACAACTGTAGCAGCAACCAGATTTGAATAAAATGCTCCATTTGCAAAATAAAAGCATTTTAAGATTGCACTCGTATACCTCACAGTGGAAAATTTTGAAACCATCATCACTCTCATAGTTCTTCTATTCTCCACAAGTGCCAACTTTGATTTGCCAATTGTATTCATCTATATTAAAAATATCAAATAGTAATGAACTCGTGCACTTTTTTGCATTTAAAACTGCTTATCAGGAAGATAATGAATAGAAACTAAAATCTCCATACATTTTCAAACGGCTTCATATCACTCTTATAAATAAGTACGGACGATATCACAAATGGCGCAATTATATCCCGTATGGTTAGTACGATAGGCCGAATAGGTGGTTAAGCACTTTTTATGGTTATTTTGTATGCACTGTATTTGTAAAACAACAAAACATGATTAATTAAGAAAAAAATCGTCAATACAGAAAATACAGATTTTTTAATAGAGTGGATACAGATTTTTTATAAAACCACCTGGCAGCTCTGGAACGACTGACGTTTGTTTGGTGGATGTGGGAAGTGCTTGAGAATATCCAGGATATTACTTTGGCTTTTTCGTGAAAAAATCCTGATTTTCCAACGTATTTCATCACAACTGTTGTAAAATATCCCACTCCAATAAGTTCACGCATCAGAAAAGGCATTTCGATCCGAAAATGCCCACCGCGAGCGCCGGTAAGAAAATGTTTGGTTCAATTTCTTGTCTGTACTCACGCAAGCCGCTCAATCTTGAATGATGGTGGTTCGCTGTTTCCTTTCATGGGTGTAATTATTTTTTCTTTAATGTTTTTTCAACACCAATAATACTGATTCAACAGCATCATGGGTGAAATTCTTCACCAATGCCGGCATTCCGTCGCAAGCGGCCGCCGGATATGCTCATGTATTTGTCGAAAATCGAATACAGATGGATATGCTGATGGATCTTAACAAGGAGTACCTCCGGGAGATGGGGATCACTACGATGGGTGACATCATAGCAATACTGCGCCACTCAAAGGTGGTAAGCGATCAGAGCGCTCGTGACCGGGTGCTATCCACACCGGTGGAAGAAGGTAGCAATGGTAGTTCCTCCGTGCCGGTTGCGGCTGTTTCGGCGACTCAGAGTTCCGGTCCGAAATCGGTGGTTTCCAGTAGGTGTGAGCATAGGGTAATCGAAAGGGTGAGAAGATTGATTTTATGATCCGTTTTAGGGCCCAGTTCAACAGTATCCCTTCCTAGTAAACCGCGTCGGATTTTCCCAGAGCACAAAGTCACACTGCCCACAAGTGGCAACAGTGTTCGGTCTGTCAATGAAGTTCCAGATAGGAAAACTTTTTCGGCATCGTCGTTGATTAGTGGTAGCGCAAGTAAGAAAGCAGATGTCTTCAAGAGACTTTCACACAACTCGGACGATAATGTTGACGAGGACGGGGACTTTGGCCGTCGTGAAACACCTTCGAAACTTGCATCGAAGGTAACCCTCAAGGGCATAGAACAGTTTAGACCCAGTAAGAGTTCTACGTCGATTTTCTCTCGCCTTGGAGGAAAGAGCAAACGGGACATAACGGATGGTCCCACTGGAATTTTGAAAAAATCACCCAATAAACCTGTAAGTGATGTTAGTTGCAGCAGGTAAATATTTGGGAAATTTACTTTTATGTTATCATTTTCTCTTTTAGCTCATATCGGATCGCAAAATTACCACAACTTCACAGAAGGTAATTCTGGTCAAAAAGATACCCGCCAAGGCGGTCACCGTTTCGGACGAAGAAGACTTTCGTATGCGCAAGGGTAACAGTCGTCAGCGGTCTTACAGCGACCGTATGGATACAGGAGAACCTCTGAAGATGGTGTCATTCTCCGAGGAGGATGAAGTGCTCGAAATAGATCCTCGCCCTGTGGGCCAAGCCTCTCCGAAAGGTGGTGCTCGAATGCGGTTCAATGAACGGGAAATACCCGTACGATCAAGACTTGGCCATTCGCCGAAGCAGCAAGTTTCTCCTCTGCGTGGACCGAAGAAAACGGTCTATATGAAAGGCCAAAAATCGCCAGCTGGTAACATCACAACCCTGTCGCCTTCGTCGCTATCGCGATCGAAGATGAAGGCCGACGCGATGCTGCTTCGCAGCGAATTACCCATCAAGAATCGACTGAATATGGCCGCACGAAGTGGTTCTCCTGGCAAAAAGGTGACCGCCAACAACAGGAATGATCGGCTGAGCCTGGATTCAAAGTTGGCTAATTTGAAACTGAAGGGACCGGGAAAACCGACGTCGGGTGGCAGAAAAAGCGTACCTAGTGGAAGCGTGTTCGACCGGTTGGGATACAATAGAAAATGAACGGGATGGGGTAACTTGTGCGTTTGCCCTGTGTCTATAGAGTTTAGTTTGTCTATGCCAACAATATACATACATTTGAAGGATTATCTACTCCGAATGGAAGGATGATCGCCAACAATATTGAAAGATTTGTTTGTTTGACGGAATATGAATCGAATGAATTGACCATTATTAGCCGTATTCTGTATTTTCCGTGGATTTCATTTTCAGTGTTCTATTTACATTGATAATTTCAGTCGACAGCAGAGTAAATCTTATCTTTTGAATCGATTTGTTCACCTAGCGTTAGTGTTAGTATTCTGGCTCCAAATATGATGAGAGTACCTCATATGGCATAATGCCTGTATGGGACATTGATCAGTTCACGAAGATTTGCCGCACTCTTCTCTCACCCGTAAGTTTTGACAGTTTTGGGTGGTTTGTTTTGGCTCCCATTCGTTGCTATCTCTTTTACTCAGAAGCAAAATGATAGGGAGCAAAAAGTGAGGTTAGGGACCGTGCACTGATCTATAACTGTTTTTTTTTCAATCATTATCGGTTCTTCAAAAAATTTCCCTTCTTTTGTTCATGAACTGTTCTTTTTCGTATTTATGCTAAACGGCAGTTATGGGGTACTCTCAAATGCGATATTTGGATAGTGTTAAAAATTTATTGAATGAAAATTCGAGGCAGAAATAAAGCTCTCATAAGTACCTACTATCTATTTAAAAAAAAATCACTACTGTACTAGTATATATAGATATTGAAATGATGACTCCCTTCTTCTTTAACTTTTTTAGTTCAAAGGTAGCAGGCTAAGCGGAAGAGCAGACAACTGTCTTCTTTTGTCTGTGACGTGTTCTTCTTCTCTCGCGGAAACGACCGTGCAAAAACTATTTCATCATGGGCGACGCAGTCGATTGTCAAAATACAAGAAAATAGATTCCCTGTTGTATAAATTCTCGCGTTTCTATACGTTCGCCCGACCAATCAATCAGGCGCTGGTTTGCGTTTGACAGAAAATTGGTTCATAAAAGTCCCCATATTGTCTCCTCTTCCTCTTAGGTAGCAGGTAACTTTGTAGTGGCTTTTTTTTGTTGCGTTTATTTATAAGGCCCCCTCGCCTATTGGGCATTGCTTGGGCCGATGACCATTATTTATAATTAGATCCCTTCCCGCTTTTATTTTTTAAATAAAACGGATTATCCCCTATTTGATAAGTTGCATTATTTTCATCTAAATGATCTGTTTGCTGACCACTCTTCTGGGTGCACTGATCAGCACGAGCTTCCTTTTTGACGTAGGACTACGTCTGTGATTTCTATATGGGGGTACACTTTGTGAAAACCAGTGATGGAAAAGTTCATCAAAGTTCCCTATGACTCGCGAACTTTTCCCTCGGTGAACTTCGTGAAATATCGCGAACTTTTCGAACACTGGTGAAAACCAAGAATGGAAAATGTAACAAAATTATGAAAGATTTTGAACGTTAATAACTCAGCTACCCCTGAACCAATTTCAATAATTTCATCTCCAATCGATTAGCAATATTTCTACGCAACTGTTAAATTTAAGACTTTATCACATTTCAAAATTTCACTATTGAAAGTTGTACAAATGTGTAACTGTTGCTATGATAGTTAAAATTATCACCGTTTGCCTGCGAAAAGCGATTTCCCTAACACAGATTTCAAAGTTGAATTCCATCCGGTCTCACCAAACGGTGTTTATTCAATCACCGTTTGGTGAGTGGTGGTGTTCTCCAGTAGACAACGAAAAGCTCTCCGCAAGCAGCTAGCTACCAAGGCTGGCCTCAACCGCTGATCGGATTCAGTTCCTATCCCCGTGTGTGCTGGTGTCCGGTCGTCGGCATCAGCTGCAGCAGCAGCAGTGTTTTCGGCGCGTAGCGTTGAACATTGTTCTCGAGTACACAACGAAAGGCTGCCTACAAGCACTAAACTGCAGCCCACATGAGCATCCATAGAAGGAGGAAGAAGCCGCACCGCTATTGATCGGAATCAGTAGTGAGTTGCTGTGGGCCATCTATGTCAAGCGCGTCATACTAAAGAGTATAAACAAAGAGAACCCCGCTCAAATTCCTATTCCTACACAAAATACAAGCTTCTGCTGCAGTTAACAAATAAGATTTATTATATAAGACCACGTAGTCCTACCCTCGGTCCTACCATAGAGGTAACTCTAAGACTAGTAGCATAGAGGTAACTCCATAGAGGTAACTCTAAGACCACTGGGTCCCGAAGAAAATCATTATTATTTTTGGCTCACTCAGTACCAGAACAACGGTCCCAAGCAGTCCCAAGCTATTTCACTCACCCCTGCATGTTCTGCATGAATCCACACACCCCTGATGTTATCTGTCAAACTTTCATAGCGAATCAAAACAAACATAGTGTAGTAATAGAATTTCAACTAGAATAGGGCACGTTAATCGTTTGCTTGGGACCAATAGGCTACTAAGGTGGTGAGCCAATTTAAAATCGTTAGTTTTGTATTGATTGTTGTTATAACTCTGTAGTCTGAACGTACTATAAATTTATAAAGAGACGACATGTCAAAATTGGAACAATCGATTATATGTCAAAGTCATAGGGAAAGTTATTCCAATCGAGCAGAAGACCTGTCAAATGGATAAGGTGTCGCCTCTTTATCCAATTCAGTCTCTTTAGTTTCCATTTATTAAATAGTTCGGATAGTCTGGAAATGACAGGTTCATAGTGAGAAAATGTACCATAAGGGGCCCGTTCACTGATCAAAATCAGATTCACATCGTCAGACCCTGCCCAAGAATAAGGGGATTGACGATGTCTTGTCAAGTTTTATTTTGAATTTGCGTTTTGCATTTAGGCTGTGAACCATTTGCCGAGTTAAATTTAACTCGTGGTTAAAAGTGACATTTCGAAAGTTATTTTCTATGTTCGAAAATCCCCGTGCTGTCGATCGACCGGTTTTCGAGCCACAGTTGTCAAAATTTAACTTCTTGTCTGTCAGAAGTAACCACGCTCGGATAGCAGGGTTAATCGATAACTTTCCATCTGTCAAATTTTAACCAAAAGTTAAAATAATTCGCCAAATGGTTCAGAGTCTTAATACTCTAGTAAGGCTGTGAACCATTTGCCGAGTTAAATTTAACTCGTAGTTAAAAGTGACATTTCGAAAGTTATTTCTTATGTTCGAAAATCCCCGTGCTGTCGATCGACCGGTTTTCGAGCCACGGTCGTCAAAATTTAACTTCTTGTTTGTCAGAAGTAACCACGCTCGGATAGCAGGGTTAATCGATAACTTTTCATCTGTCAAATTTTAACCAAAAGTTAAAATAATCCACCAAATGGTTCAGAGCCTAAATCTCGCGTCCGTGCTCATTCACAACAGTGTGATGTGTCAATACTCACTGGGTTATATGTCTTAGGCTGTGGTCCATTTGGTGAATTTTCACTTAAATTTGACACTTCGAAACTAAATTATAATGTTCGAAAATCCCTCTGTTGTTGATCGGCCAATTTTCGAGAAGGTGTGTGTCAAAATTGATTCCTTGTCTGTCAGATATAAGTCTGCTGGAATAGCAGGTTAATTTGGAAATTTTCCATCTGTCAAGTTTAAGTGAAAATTCGCCAAATGGAACACAGCCTTAGACCAGTTCCAGATTAGTTTGCTATTAATATCTTCTGCATCGCAGTTCGCGATATATTACTAAATATGGGTTCTCTTTTCCGACCATAATAGCATAGAGGTAACTCTAAGACCACTGGGTCCCGAAGGAAATCATTATTATTTTTGGCTCACTCAGTACCAGAACAACGGTCCCAAGCAGTCCCAAGCTATTTCACTCACCCCTGCATGTTCTGCATGAATCCACACACCCCTGATGTTATCTGTCAAACTTTCATAGCGAATCAAAACAAACATAGTGTAGTAATAGAATTTCAACTAGAATAGGGTAAAGCCCTACAGTAAAAGTATGGACGACTGTCACCACAAAACTGAAAAAAGCTGTTCCAATCGAGCAAAGCGGTGCATTTTGACGGTTCGATTGGAACAACTTTTGACAGACGTCCATACTTTTACTGTAGGGCTTTAGAATAGGGTACGTTAATCGTTTGCTTGGGACCAATAGGCTACTAAAGTGGTGAGCCAATTTAAAATCGTTAGTTTCGTATTGATTGTTGATAATAGTGTGAGGGAAGGGGGTGAGTTAAACGTTGCGATATGAGAGCGAATAGAGGCAAATAAATAGGGAAGACAACACCATGACCCAAATAAGTAACCAATGCATGCGGCTCACACTTAACTTGTTCTATTTCTTTATTTCTTCCTATCATGTACTAATACTAACTGCCTGAGGACAAATGGGAACACGACCAGAAGATCAATAGGAGAAAAGTAGCGAGAAAATTCGAACAAGAAAAGAAAAATTAAACTTGCACCAGCAAGAGGAAACAGACAGAAAGGATCATGCCGGTTGGAGACAGCCAATGTATACTGGACAAAGCTTGTATCTAGGAAAAGTCGTATGTGCAGAAAACCGTAAGTAGGATAAGAATCGTAAAAGGTGTGTGCTTGCTTGATAAGATCCTAACTTTACTTCAAATACACGGTAGGAATCGAATATCCATTTATGATTAAGGTTTTGCCCATTTTTCAGTGGGAATGGCAATACTCATCGATGAGTGATTTATCGTACCCATTTATTAGTAACTGTTAGCAGCTTATGGTTAATTGATTTAGGGGAATTTACGTATTCTCGGCAACCTAAGCAGCAACCTTCTTTCTATAGCCTTTTTCTCTAAGGAACGCACACATATGCAGTATTGGTTTGTTTACAATCTTTTGCTGCCAGCTGCTCTAACAATTTCAGTCGAAAGAATTGTCAAAAACTGTTTTGAAACGCTTTTACAAAGCTCCAATCTTCTCTAGTGAGAGCGAGTATTGTCGGCAACCAGTTTTTCTTCGGCAACCGTTCCATTTGAACTGCATGTAAATCTGCTGTTCTATTATCGGCAACTCGAAATTAGCTACAATTTGTAGTGCGTAGAAAACCTTGCTAGATTGCTTTTTCTCAGTTGTAAAAATATAGTCAAATTGAAGCTGAAAGCATAAAGAATCGTTTGCATGTATTCAGCGAAGTGTTTTCGTAAGAAAATCCAGTGAAAATAGTGTTTCAATTTGGGTTGCCGAAAATAGTCTGGCATGCCGAAGCCGTCATTTCCCCTACCTATTTTAGAATTACCTATACTTCACATCAGAACCTCATTTCCTTCAATTACTACTCCGTCGCAGCACACACCTTATATGGATCGCTAATCTTTATTTAGTTTCAGCATTTTCGAGATTA